TTCATGCTCCCAGTATTTTTTTGTAGGCATGGGTCCACTCGAGCGGGAAAGTCCAGGCTCGAACGGAGAGCTATGTAGACAGACCTTCTGCTCGAGCGCCCGAGTTCACGCTCGAGCGTGAATTTGATGCAACCAGCACTTTTGCAGACCAATTGGGTCCGCTCGAGCGGGGAAGTCCACGCTCGAGCGGGGACCCTATTTTCTGAAATTTTGTTTATGCGTTCTGTGTTTCGTTTTCCATTCTCCTTCACTTCTAAGTACTCTTAGGCATGCATTGAGCATTGTAATTGAGTTAAAGAGATAAGAATAAAGCCTAAAGATGAAAATGTGAATTTAAGAAGGGATTAAATTGTTGGTGACCCTTTTGTGTTCATGGACTGTGTAGGGTCGAGCTCCAGGGCAAACCAACCAACCGATCACTGTGAGTAATATCGATATTTGGAAGCTTGTCATTTGTCCAATTGTTTTTTTTCTTATAAGCCTTATGCCTTATGATTTGCTAGTTTGAATTGTGGACAAATGTCTGATAAGAATGAATGGGCCAGATGCCGTTTTGACAAGAAAGAATGGATGGGCCAAAGGCCGTTTTGACAAGAAAGAATGGATGAGCCGAAGGCCGTTTTGACATGAATGGATGGGCCAAAGGCCGTTTTGACATGAATGAATGGGCCAGAGGCCGTTTTGACATAAATGAGTGGGCCAGAGGCCGTTTTGACGGGAATGAAAGATAAATGGGCCAAAGGCCAGTATGTTTGAAACCACAGTCACTTGACTTAAATTGTGTATATAGATGTTAAATAAAAATGTAAATTGGGCCCAAGGCCGTTCGGAGTATGTTGTTGTGCATATCGTTTGTATCTTCTTATTTAATATTATTCACTGGGTTATCGCTCACGCTCATTCATGTGTTTGTAAATGAGCCAAGAGAGGTCCAAACCCAGCCCCAGTGAAGTCTGTGTGGAACAACCGAGTTTTGGAGAGTCAGCCCTAGTGTCTCACACACGAGACTCGTCTTCGCCTTTCTGCTATGCTATGTTATTTTTATCATGTTGGCGAGGACTTTGCATATGTCTGTTTATAGTTTTCATGGGTTGATTTAGTTTTTGGATGATCTTGTTTGTACAGAACTCATGCTACTGTATTTCTGTTGTGAGTTGTTAATGTATATATGTTTGGCTGTTTGGCTATGCCATGTAAGCACAACTCTATGGACAAAGTTTTGAACTGCTTCCATTTGGCCCCCATTAACTCTGTTAAAATGCATTTGTTTTGGTTTGAGGCCGTAGATAATCTCATGATTACTAGCCGGTTATGTCCTTAACCCACGGGGGTGGGTTCGGGTCATGACAGTATTGTTGCATGAAGAACTATTGTATCATGTAACGTAAGTTTGGATATTTATATTCGGTTTTCCTTGAAAGAGCTATGATTGTTGTATTATCATTTGGGCTAGAAATTTGGAGCGTTGCAGTTTGCCCCTTGAATCTCTTGCAAATCCCTAGTTTCTCCTCTTTCTATTTCTCTAACTCACTCTCTAGCTAAGGCTCTTCACTAAGATAAACTCAAAAACTATATATATATATATATATTAGGCTAATTAAAACATTACGAATCGTAATTTTATTAAATTTCACCATAGGCTCTAAAAATCATGCTAAACACATACATAAAGTCGGTTTTGGTTTCTGACGGCTCTAAGGCTTTCAATTTCAGTTCAAAGTTGTGATTGCAATAGATGGTCCTACATTCAACATACATAATTCCATAATCACATAATTCACACACTTAAACTTGTAAATTCATATCAAACACATAATCGAATGCATAATTAAGCATAATACGGGTTGGGTTATCACAGGGGTGGAACTGTGGAACTTAGATCTGAGCGATATTGCTAACGACGACGGTAAGGAAAGATAGATGTGTTGGGAGAGAAGATGAGAGAGACAGTGAGATGTGCTGGTGGTTGTTGTTGTTGATTTTAATAGATAGTGGCTTTCTTCTTCTTCTTTTTTTTGGGTCTGGTTTGTTGTTGTTGTTGTTGTTGATATGATTATCTTTTTCTTTTCTTTTTTCTTTCTTTGTTGTTGTTGTTGTTGCTATTGTTGATGATTCTAATAGATAGTGATAGAAAATATATGTGTTGTTATTGAACAAACAGATTTGTTTGTGCCTCCACACTGATCTGTTTGTGTCTCCGTATCTGTTCAAAAAATTAAACAAATAGGTCCAAGATAGGTTTAAAAAAATTTGTTGTTGAACAGACTTGTTCAAAATTTGAACAAATAGTGGCTTTGATGTATTTCAATAACAAAGATTTGAACAAATAAATAGAATTCAGTGAAAAAATTTGAATAGATAAGAAAATTTGGACAGATAGATTTAAACAAATAAGCAAAAAAATTGAATAAAAAATAAAATTTAAACAGATGTTTGAACAGATAAGGGAAGAAATTGAATAGATAGTCAAAAAATTAAACAGATAAAAAAATACTTGAACAGATAATCAAAAAAATTCAACAGATAGTTAAGTGGTAAAATAGGAAGAAATGTCCTCCAAAACAATACAAGGACTTCTCAACAAAATATTTTACAACTAGTAGACCTCTTACCAACAAAAAATATCCATTGGACCTAATGCCTTAAACAATTGCTAGATTGGACTTTTCAACAATTTTCTCTAGTTAAAATTATTTGTTAAAATATGTGTTATATGATAAAAAGTGATAAAAAAGAGACTCATTTTATGTGTTGGTGTTTGTTAATGTTAGAGAGCGAGTGTGTGTTACAATGGGTGTATTAAAATATGTATTAAGATAAATATAAATATATATATATATATATATAAAATACCAAACTAATCAAATTAATGAAACAACAAATCAATTTGACACCAAAAAAAAAAAAACCAAAAAAACAAAAAACAAAAAAACAAAAACAAAAAACAGAGGTGGTTAACTCTATAGGAGATTTGACAAATTTATAATCTCAAAAAGAAACAACAAATAAATTTAGGTTTGATAAATTCAAGAACTTTCTGAAGCTTCCACTGATGAAAGAGTTTGTTGGGTGTATGGTCCGACGGGATTTGGAGGTGGTTTGGGCGTTCTCTCTCTCTCAAGAAAGTGGCTGCGTTGGTTGGACATGGATTTATAATAGGTATAGAATGTGGGTTTTGACAGTGGGTTTGTGATGATATTGAGGTGGGTTTTAAATTGTTTTGAAGGGATGGATTTAATAGAGTTAGAACAGTATAGTAGCATTACGACAATACAATTGCAGCAGAAACAAGTTTTCTATTCATGGTGGTAGGTGTAGTGGGAAAGTAATGGGGAAAGTAGTTTTTTGTTGGCAGACGTGTTCTGTTGTTGGTGGGAGTGGCGGATGGGTTCGAAGATTGGGGACGATGATGGTGAGTCGAGTCGAGTCAACTCAGGCTATGTTTGGCATGGTTTATTTTGACTATTTTAATCACAAAAAGATAAAATAAATAAAAAAGTTAAAATATCATATTCAAATCATAATATTTTATTTTTTCTCTTACAAAGTTAAAAAATTCAAAAAATCCATTACAAACAAAAAAATTTTAGTCTCAAACTAAAATAACCAAAAAATTAAAAAGCCAATCCACAACACAAATGGGGGCTCAATGGTTGATTCAAAGTGAGCAAGCACATTGAAGAATATTTTTAAGGAAAATGATTGGTGGTCCTAAAAAATTTGCCCTTAATGCCCCTAATTTCCATTTTTGGAAACTGTTTTCTTTTTTTCTTTCTTTTTTCCTTTTTTTTTTTTTTTTTTACCAAAAGTGGAATTTCGGGGCATTCGAGCCCCGAAATTTAGGGCCCTCAAGCAGCGCTGTATTTTTAATGTCTATAATGTCCCGAAAAATTGAACGGGTGCATTATATGACCATTTTCTGTTAAAAAATAAACAAGCCCATTTCATTTGTCTTTAATTGGCACAAAATGAAAATTTTAAGGTTAAAAGCTAAAACTCGAATGATACTAGAAGGACCATTGATGAAATTTGCCTATTTTATTTAAAAAAATTAAATTGTTATGAAAGTGTGAATAATTATTTTATCGCACGAAAGTATACAAATTTGAAAGTGAGAAATTATAAATTGTAAAATTTTCACTGATTATGACTTGTCCACCCAAAAAAAAAAATTCACTGATCTTTTTTTAGGATAATTTTAACAATTAAGGCCACAAGTTTGATGTAATTGCACTAATCTTTATTTAGTTATGCTAAAACAAACAAAGCTAATGTAGTTGGTGCATCAACACGGCAATAATTATTGGAAATAAAATATAAATTTAGTATAAAAGTGATGATAATATTATTTTTTTATCCAACTATGAAAGTGTGAACAATTATTTTATCGCACGTAAGTACACAAATTTGAAAGCGAGAAATTATAAATTGTAAAATTTTCACTTACTACGATTTATTCACCCCAAAAAAAGAATAAAAAAATAAAAAATTCACTGATCTTTGTTTAGGATAATTTTTACAATTAAGGCCACCAGTCTGATGTAATTGCACTAATCTTTATTTAGTTCTTCTAAAACAAACATAACTAATGTACTTGGTGCATCAACACAGTAATAATTATTGGAAATAAAATATAAATTTAGTATAAAAGTGATGACAATATTACTGTTTTATTATCTAATTAAGGAATATCTAACAGAAAAATAGTATAATGTTATTTGAGTTAAAATGTTAATCAAACATAATTACATTATATCAAATTTATGACACTGTTTATTTTTTTATTTTATTTTTTTGATCGGCAAGAAAGAAGCTTTATTGATGGAAATAACTAGTATGATAACTTGCATCAATAAAGAAGATGGTGTAAAAAGCATCACGGTGAAACATACAGATCCCAACGAGGTTGGCACCTAGATGCACACCAAATCATCTGCTAGCACACACTCGAATCTCGAAGTTGGTGAGAAGCCAACAAGCAGAGCAAAAACAAAACAAACCAAAGACAAAAAAGCAACAACACACTCCCCTGCTGGAGCATTAGACAGACATATTACAGATATAATAATGCTCAACACTACTAGCCTAAGCATCAATGCTACAGGACTAACAGCACTTCTCTACACCAGCACAAAGCAGAGCCCAGAAACAACAATACTAAAATTAGCTCAAAGCATGAAGCAGCAAACCACCATAAAATTAGCACAGCAGGCACACAACAGAGATCATACCAGCAGTGGCTCAGCCCACCCCCAGCCACAACCATCTGAGCAACCATGCTCACAAAACAACAAAGCAGCTATGGTCACTATGGATTGCATAGCTAGAACAGCAATATTATCAAAACATTAGCAGCAACAGATCATTAACATAACAAGACAACAGATCAGTATTATCAGAACATTAGACCTCAGGGCCATCCTATTGCAGTAAAACACAGCAGCATGAAGCACCTTGATCCACAGTGCTATCCTCACCCACCCCCAAAGGCAATCACCAGCCCACCCACAGCCATCTCAGCAACATCAGACCAGAGATCATAACTGAGCAGCCTGAGTAAAACTGATCAGCCACACCCAGGACTAACAGCAGAATCACATCAGATCACCATAAACCCAAAGTTGGTGAGAGACTAACCAAGAACACTCCAACAAAAAGCAAACAGCAGAAGACAACATACACTCAACAACAGGCAAACAGATCAAAGAAGACCACCAGACTCACTTAGCTACAAACAGAGCTGCAAACACCAACTAACTAAGACCACCAGACTCACTTAGCAGAAACAGTGAGTGACAGAGCTGCAAACAGAGTAAATTTCAGAGATCCCAAATGTAGCTCAAAAAACAGATCCAGTACTCACAAGCAGAAGCACTCACCAGTTGATCCACAAGCTGCAAACACCAGACTCACATACTGATCCAATACTCACCTAGCCGCCAGAAATTGACTGAGCTAACTGCCCAACAAAACTGATCCCCTAATTCCTTCCACCTACATAGAATCTGATTTGTGAAATGTTATGGAGGAAGTCATCAATGAAGAATGGAGTCCCCTTGGTTGCAACTTTATACCAGATTGCAATTCTTGTGATAATGAGCTCCAGTAATTCCTCCAACTTGGGTTGAGAACCTTGAAAGAGGCACTCATTTCTATGCTTCCAAATTGACCAAAGAGCTACTAGAAGAATGGCACTCCAAATCCTTCTTTCAGCCTTCCTGCAGCAATAACCTGACCACCACTCAAGCAGGCCTTGAACAGAACCAGGCACCACCCAAGTAATCTTCCACCACTTCAAAAGGCTGGACCAAACTCTCCATACCAAGGGGCAAAGGATAAGCACATGTTCAGATGTTTAAATACTAGCCTTACAGAAAATGCATAAAGTAGAAGTATTACAATCTAGAATTTCCAATCTATGTAGAAACACTGATGTTTGGACCTTATTTCTCATTGCAAACCAACCAAAACATTGCACTTTGGGTGGAAGGTATTTAATCCAAACCATACTACTGTAGCTGACATTATCACCAAATTCAAGATTGGTATGCTTGTAGAAAGCAGATACTAGGGATTGGCCAGAACTCTGCGTTAACCATAATGCACTATCCTTGACGGCCAGATTCAGAACAGGGGCCACTTGCAAGGTATCTGAGAGTCTAAGTAGTTTCTCATTTTCCCAATCAAATAAGGGTCTTCTAAAGTGAAAAACCCAGCTTTGTGAGGAGGCTGTTGTAGACACCCCATTTTTGACCATCCTCAAGACTTGGACGTCACCGTTTGAACACTCGGTGATCATCCTTATTTGTGTTCGTCTTGAGTTCTCGGAGGTCTCGGCTACGTGCCTTGCCTCAAGATCTCTCGACTCGACTGTTTTGTGTTTGGTTTTGCACCAAACACTTGTGTTTTTGCTTTGGAGGGCAGAGAATGGCTTGTTGGCCATCCCCACACTCCACCGGCCATGGATTGAGGCCACCGGCTGTGTTTTGTTGCCATCGGCCAAATGTTTGGCCGACCGACACTCTAGATGGTCGAATGGCCATCTATTTCGGTCAAATTGCATTTTTGGCCAGTCGACCACAGTTCATCTACTTTTGCTGATATTTTTATGCCAGCTGTACTAGCTGGCATACATGTGTATGGAGGGATCTCCCTCTTGACTAGCTTGTTTGGAAAGCTTTACAAGAGGGATTTTCTATAAGAGGGAGCCTCTTCTCCCTCCATTAGGGTTAGAAAAAAAAGCTCTAGAGGTCTGGTTTTTAGGGTTAGAAGTGTGTGTCTATTTTATCTCTATACCTCCCTTCCTTGTGAGTTAAGTGTGTGTTTGTCCTTATTATTGCACACAAACACCTACCATTACACATTTCCTTAGTTGCTGAGGCATTAGAGGGTTGATCTTGGACTTTTTGAGCTGGTTTTGATCCAAGAAGAGGTCTGGTCTTGTGATCTTGGAAGTATTCTTCAAGGGTGAGTGTTCTTGCCCTTTATTCCCCATTTTTGCATAGCTTTTTGACTATCTTGCAACTATTTTTAGACTTTGTAAATAACTAACAAAAGTCTTGATTTTGAGTGCTTAACATAGTTGTTTAAGGTTGCTTTGTCATTTGGGGGTGTTTGACCACTCTTAGGCCTTGTTTGGCCCTATTTTTGTGCTATTTTGGTGAGCTCCGGAACCACTTTGTTTGGGCCTCCTCACCCCTGAAATCTTGAGGGATTTCAGTGGTGAGGATGATTCCTTAAGGTCTTAAGAAGGAGAGGGCTACCCCCCCTCCTTGTTGTCCTTGAAAAGGGCCATTTTAGCCTTTTGAGTGAGCATCTTATTTGGGTTCATGTTGGCCATATCTTAGCTGTTATTTAGTGTTATTTTGCCATGCTATAACACTATTTTATGTTGGTTTAGGCACACCATGCTTGTTTAGCATACATGTCTTGTAATGCCATCATTTGCCTTAACATGTACTTAGCATGTAGATTACCATGCTTGCTTGTTTTGGCCAAGCTTTGTGAAGCTTTTAGGCTTGTTTTGCCATGCTTAAGGTCTGATGTAGGTTGTCTTAGCCATGCTCGCCATGCTTTGTTTAGCCTCTTTGCCTTCTTGGCTTGTAAGCCTTAAGTGTATGAACCATGAGCATGCATTACTTGCATTATTCCAGTGATTTTGAACCATTTAATATGTCATTTCAGTCCTCATGACATGCTGGCATGCTTGCATTTGATGCCCCTTTAATGTGTTAAAAGGTTGTTGTCTTATGCCTCTTGTTTAGGCCCTTGTGCATGCTTGCATGTTTAAGCCATTTAGATGCCGTCTAGATGTGTTATTGGCTTTGTCTTAATATGCTAAAACTCTGATTTTGGTTGCTTAATTCATGCCATGTCCGATTTTGCTAAGTGTAGTTCTATACACCTTTGGCTTGCCTTGAATTTTGGCTTTGCTTGCATGCCTTGTTTGTCTTGTCTAGTTGGTTTGGCACCTTTCATGACTTGATTTTCAGAGCTTATAATGCATGCCATTTATCCATCTTTTCATCCTCTCAAGTGTGCTTGAGAGTTGCTCTTCAATGCCTAAGTGTTGGTCCTTGTGTGCATGCATGCTTGCATGTTATTTGGTCCTCATTCTCTTAGCAATTGGCCACTGTTTTAGGCTTAGTTTAAGTCTATTATTCGCGTGTTGTTGCATGCTCGCCTTGTGTGTTGTTACATGTTTAGGTTGTTTAACATGCTTGCTCCATGTGTTGCTACATGCTTGAACATCCATATTGCATCTTGCACACTTGTTGGTTTGCATTGCCTCATGCCTTGCATGCTTGTTTGCATAGGTTGTATGCCTAGTATGCATTGTGCATTGCATGCCCATGTTGCATACTTAGTTAACATGCCTAGGTTGCATTGCATTGGCATGCATGCTTTGCCTCTTGAATTGAGTATGATAGAGGTTGAGCCTCACTTGTTTGTTTGATGTGCATCTCATTTGAAATCAAAGTGCATACTTGGTTTCTTGGGCCATCACGCATTGAAATGCGCGGTTGGTGGTCCGAGAATCGAGAACCATGTCCCTTTAAGTCACAAACATGATAAGAGATGTGTTGGTGCATACATTTGCTTGAAATGCGTTGCCATGCCTTGTCAAAATAGGTTCTGCAGGAAGTTTTGGCCGGTCGGCTACATACAGTGCCGACCGACCAACAATTTGTGGCCGATATCTCCACAGGTGGTCAATGACCATTCCCCATGGCTAGTGACCATTCCTCATAGCCGGTGGTATTCCACAGCACTCAGAGAAGCAACCTTGGAGTTTGTGCAATTTTCAGAGGTGCCAAACAGTAAAAATAGAAGCAACTTGTGCATGGCAGTGGACTTCCGAACGGAACCGAGCATGCATTACATTGGGCCCTCTTCCCGAGGCTGTTTACTGTTTTATTAGATTGGTTAATTTGCTTAACTAGTTTAATTTATCCGTAATAATTAATTAGCTTATAGGTTAATTAATTCTATTATTCTTTTGGTCCCTCCGAGCGAGGGCAAATTTGTAATGAGTGTGGGTGCGTGTGTGCATGTTTTCCAACCCCCACTTCTTTTTCCCTTTTACTTACCTGCTTTGATGGTTAGTATTAGGGCATATTTAATTTAGCATACCTTATGTTGTGCATACGTGCATCATTCACCAGCATTGCATGCACCGGGCTCGGCGTATCATGCTAACTGCATAAGTATTTCAAATCTAACTTGAATATGTGCATCAAATGGTTGCATTTCACATGCCATCCTAGGATTAGCGAAGCCTATCCTAATTGCATTCTGTATGCGTTGTATTAGGCACATAACATGGACTTGGATCATATATTGATTGCTAACGAGTTCTTTGTTTTGGCTTGGAGTACACTGTAAGTATTTTGTGCTTTAGCATCTCGCGCGAGTGTAAATGTTAACATGACAGCATGCCTACCATGTGGCTAGATGCTTATGTGATATGAACTGCCTGAATGCCTATGGGTGAAGGTTGGATTGCTTGAGTTGGAACAACTCATCAAAATCCGTGTTTTAGCCTACTCGCGAGTAGCAAATTTTAAAACATTTTCCAAACAAACGGATATGCGATGCTTTGTTCCAAATTAGGCGATCTAGTCTATACTTGTTTTGCTGTGCGCATCACATAGTAATTCTAGCTAATTAACTGGAATAAGAACACATAAGGATTTCAAAATTGGATATCATGGTTAATAGAGGCCGATCTTCGGATCGGACGAGTGGGGGTGCTCATAGCTGACCTTCCCCAATCGTACCCAAGTTCCCGAGCCGAGGCAACTTTGGTGATGACAGACACGTGGCCTTAGGCAAAGAGTCAGGGTTCCTAAATTCCCCTATTAAAAAATATTTAGGTGGCAACTCTGTATCTGGCAAAGCAGTCCATGTTTGGCACTTCTTTTCTACAAATCTGTTTTCTCAAAACGATTTGCCGGATTTGGACTCTTTGGTTCAGACTAAGAACCATGACACAAAAGGTAGTCCGAACTGTGGTGGCATAAAGCCCGAGGGCGCGTCCACAGTTTCTAGCGATTCTGCTGGGGAGTTTAGAGAGCTTGACTCGAACTCGTGATATCCTGTTTTGATTTCATTTATGTGTTTCTTTGCATTGCATGTGCATTGGTGCGCTTAGGACACCGTGTTGGCCATCTACTATTCCTGAACGGTTTGCCGGAGGCTTGCCTTGTCAAGGCATGACCATAAGGCTGACCGGTTGCGGGCTCTGCCAGTATGGGAACACAAACCTCGGTTTTACCGGGGCACCCTTTTGACCATTCGACCTAGTGCATATTCGGAATCCATAGTGACCATTCCAAGCTAGGACAGGTTGCTTACCCGATGTTAGGTTGTTTGAAACCGCTGTGTACGTAGTGAAACCCTAGCTCCTGACAAAATAGGACAGGGAAACCCTACCCCAACATAGGGGTGTTTTGGCTCTCTCTTACTTGCTATGTGCTTTTAGAGTGTATCTCTGCAGGAACGTACATACCAGTTTGCGAGTCTGGGGCATCAGACCTAAGGATATCAGTATTAGAATTTGAGAATCGGTTATATCCGCGGGTATCAGATTCAGTGTTTCGGGACAGTGATTTTGTGGAACATTGATCAGTAGTAGAGTACAGTTTTTCAGCTATGCCTATGTCTGTTCTGTCTGGGCTGAAATGCTGCTTGTTTTCCCTTTCAGTTCAGAGATTTG